GATCCTCATTGGGTTCCCTATACTTTCGGCCTTGTGCCACATATAAGCTACGCTTAGAAAATCACCGTTACTACTAGCGTTTATTTTAGCACTTCAAACAAAATTAAAGTCTTCAGGTTACTTTCGAGATATTAATCAAAGCCACTCACCTCTGTCATCCTATCGTAAGGGTTCCAGCCAGCGTGAAGGTCATTGTTGGGAACCGTACTAGCTCGAACCTCGCTGCGTACAAAGGAGATCTGTTTGCTTCCAAAGGCAGACATGACGGTCAGTCGTGCAGAATCCTGACCATCCTTTTCATTGTCAGCTGGTTGCAAAAAACGGTAATGAATCATCTCTGCATTCGGCAGGTCAATACTGACCATGTTAAAAAAAAAAGCACAAAAGAAACGTCAGAATCTCAAGATGTCATGCAGGTAGGGCTACAGATGAAAAGCTGTTTTATACTTTCTTATGAATGCCGCTATATCGACTTGCCTGAAAAGAGATAGAACAAACAAATCATTTATTTTGCTCACTCCTTTACTGAACATTTTGGGATTAGGGAGATAGCTGAAAATAAGTATTTTCTTATATATTAGGTTCTTCGGAAAATAATGCCCGATTTTAGAATAAACCTTTTTAATTCTGACTATTGTTTTTATCTGTATTGCCATATTTATCACAACGTTTCGGCCGTTGTACGCTCCGGCCGTCTTCAGGTGGTTGGAATGAATGGTTGGGTTCCAACCACCTGAAGAAGACCGGAGCGTACAATGGCCGAAACGTTGTGATAAATACGGCATCATAGATGAGGACAATAGTTCGAATAATGTATATAGTGTACATAATACCTCATCTCAGTAATATAGACAGAAACCTTTTTAATCCTGACCTAATATATTATTATAATAGATGCCCAAAGGTATATTAATCCTAATGATTAAAGTGACCTCTTTGTTAATTTTATATAAATCTATTACAGAATTCATCTTTAAAAAGTTGTCTACCCCTCATTTTGTACATGAGAAAAGAAGATATATGTTTAATTTTTTGCATTAGTTCAAAGCTTGGTCATAATGCTTTTAAAACTGCTGCCAACATTAAGAGAGCATAAGATAAAAGATCTACTTGTGAACGGAAAGTATGGTGTTGAACTCTGACGTTCCACAGTGGGGAGACGAGTCTTGAAGTTTAAGGTGGTAGAGGACATCCATCTGGAAGTGACAATCAACATTGAAAAACACTAGTAAAAAAGACCCACGTCAAAGTGTCAGAGAAATGTCTCAGATAATGGGTGTCAGCATTTCAACAATGTCAGACCATCCCGACGAAATTAAAAAGGTTAAGAAAATCGATAAATGGGTTCCACGTGAACTCAGTGAAATTCAAAGAGTTCGACATTTCGAAGTGAGTTAGAAGATGCATCTGCGAAATTCGAATGATCCACTTCTTGATCGAATAGTGACCCATAACGAGAAATGGATCCTTTAAGACAATCGTAAACGATCGGCTCAATAACTTGGTCACGACGAAGAACCCAAGCACTTACCAAAAACCGATATTTCAGCATCAGAAATTATTGTGACTGTCTGGTAATCCGCCATTGGCGTTATTCATTAAAGCATTTAAGGATCTAACCAGAAGAACAATGTCCAAGTTTACTGCCAGTAACTGGATAGAATGCACATTCGATTAATTTAAAATGCAACGAGCACTGGTTGATCGACGCGGTCCAACTCTGCTTCATGACAATGCTCGGCCATATGTTGCCAGGATGACAAATGCAAAAGAAAATCGCCTTGGGATACGAGACTTTGTCACATCCACCATATTACTCTGATCTCTCGATCATTTACCATCACCTTTTCAAGATGAGTTTGTTTTTTTAAGCCTAAAGACACCCCGTTGCAAAAGAAGATGCAAAAACTGCATTCAAAGATTTCTTGGCGTCTAAAACTTTAGTGCTTTATGTAAAGGTATAAATAATCTTGTATCTCTAGGGCGGAAATGTGTAGATGTTCAGGGATTGGTTAATTTAAACACTGTTTAAATACATTAATTCAGGAATAAAACTTAATTCTAAAATCGTACATTATTCTCACTTTATATACTTATACCGTAGTGAGCATAAGAAATGACTCACTCGAGGATAGAACGAAAAACCAAAGAAATCCCGGGTAAGACGATAAACTACATTCGTGTCCTGGGTAAGACGATAAACTACGTCCAGCAGCAAGGCCTCTGATCAGGAAATTTTGAGGAGCGTGAAACCACCTCTTATTTGCTGGTGTTCCCGGGTCGAATTTACTGTCTTTAAACTTCAATGTTCCATGAATCTCTCACGTACATTCATATCTGCTCAAAGCGCATCCAAATGTAAACAAATGACGTCACACATTCGACCTTGCTAACCGAACGCTCCTCTGTAGCCAAATCGGTAAAGGCACGTCAAGCTAAATGACGGATCCGTATAGGATACAGCTTCGAATACTGTCGGAGGACGAATATTTGCTATGAAAATTTCTCAGACATTTGGGCCGGTAAATGTTGTTTAACACTGTTTATTATAAACAGAGCATTTACTTAAATATTTGTATCTATAAAAAGAATGTATAAACATAAAAATGTCTTAAAATAATTGTCGGACTATGTCCATTTCATAAAATGAAAAATAGTGCAAATAGTACCGCCGTAGCAGAGTGGTTAGAACGTTCGCTTTCTGACCATAAGACCCGAGTTCGAATCTCACCATTGCTGATTTGTCAGGAAGGTGATTTCCGGATGTTATCGTTCTGGACGAGGCATTCCAAGCATGCTGTATCTTTGGAAAATGTTCGGAAAAGCCTTGTGAATTAAACTGGGTTCTGTCGATGGCTGTGCTAGCACGAAGTCACAAGTCATCGTGACCGAGGGTTTGAACGTGCTGGCCTTGTTCCGATTGTTTATCACGCTAGATAACACGCTTCTCTCCCAGAAACTTAACAAAAGTCTGTTCAGCATAGTTGAATTACAAACCACAGGTGGGCTCAGTGAGTCTTGAACAAAACAAAAAATGCGCCTGAACAAGCATCTGCAACAGGGATTAGCTAGCCGTCCTAGTAGGCAGGTATCCTCGAATACGAGTGGTCAGCCATTATTTATTAACCACCGTAGATTAAATCTAATCTGCCAGGGATTGATACTTTTTAAGCCACATGCTATTCTACATCCAAATAAGGCCTCAACATGAGCATCCATTGTCCAATCAAGCAACTCAATCCCGTAAAAATGTATTATTTGCTATGGGAACCACATCAGCAATGCCTAGCGTGCTCAGAGCTGATGCCCCATATTGCTCAGGCCGTAAGTGTAGTGAGTGAATGAGTATGCTCTGTGTTAGATTCTCTCAGCCTTCAACTATCTCGAGTCCTGGATATGACGATAAACTACATCCGGGAGCAAGGCCTCTGATCGGGAGATTGGTGGTACAACTTTTCTCGACAAAGAAACCATCAGTTATGATTTTATTCCCAGACATTATAAATAATGTGTTACAGATTATATCATAAATTAACCAAACAAATATCATGGCGCAAGAAATATGATGTTCATTATTATTGTTCTTTCATGTGCCATAATCTTTCAAGATGAGATGATCATGATTCTCCCCAAGCTCCTGCCTTTTATTGCTCTACGTACCTCTTCGAGGAATCGAAGAGCCGAGTTCAAATTCCAGTCAAATCCAATATATTCACTTACGTGCTAATACCCTTGGGAAAGGTATGAATCCTCTTCTTCCACCACAGCTATGGGTAAATGCAGAACGGACGGGGTTTTATAGCCTATAGTCTACCGCAGAAAGAAATGGCAACCTACTGTGGCAAAAAATCTGACTCGTCAGTCATGTATCGAAAGATACATGATCGCCTACGCGTGTATCACGCATGGCACATAAGCAACTGACGTACCTCTTGTCATTTTACAATCCTTCTCTGTCCTGGAGGCCCTTGTTCTTCCACCCATTTACCCAGACTCATTAAGCAGGCAGGTAGGTTGCGGTGTATCTGTTTCTCTTGCCTTCAGTATGCACTCTGATTGGGCTTTTCAGCCATGGTTGGTAACCAGTCTAGAAGAAGGACAACTTTGAATTCAAGACTGGTTGGGAGTAGAGCTAGAGACTCCATCCCGTAAAAATCTACTATTTGCTATAGGAACCACATCAGTAATACCTAGCGTGCTCAGAGCTGTGGCCCCATATTCCTCAGACAGTGTCCGGGCCGTGAATCTAGTGAGTAAGTAAGTATGCTCTGTGAGTTAGATTCTTTCAACCTTCGACTGTCTCGAACTCTAGTCCTGGATATGACGATAAACTACATCCGGTGGCAAGGCCTCTGATCGGGAAATTTGCTGTTTTGTGTAGCGCGGAACCACCTCTTAATTGCGGTTGTCCCTAGGTCCACCTTGACCCGGGGTGGTAGCTCCTGTTAGGTTCTCAGTTATAAGCAAATGGACCCCCACAAAAACCAAAAAAATTATGAAATTGTAAAAATGCAATTTTTATATAAAAATGGCCAACAATATATTTTTAAAGCAAAATGATCAGCAATGCATTTTATCTGTAGTTGAAGCCATACAATTTTGTTCAAATTATTTAGGTATCGTCATTAAATAAATCCAAAGACGTTGATATGATAAAGTCAACCAAAAAATATCTCAAACTCAGGTGATTTTTTTACCTTGACGGCTCAATAGATTGCACTTATTGACAGACTCGAATAACCGCCACTCCTTGCTGACTCTCCTGACCAGACAAAACTTGTCTTCTTTTATTGCTCTACCCCTCTGCACACTGTTGTCTCCTCTCACTAGCGACATTTCCTACACCTTTCCACCCCCTCGCCGATCAACTCTCCTACTGTCGCTGTCTAACTCTGATATATATAACTACAAATGAAGAATTATTTTTTTTAAAGTACATCGCTATCAGATGCCTAACAGATAAATAATTCGGTGAAAAGAATTTGGGGAATCTTTGTTAA